GCTGGGTAGTGAGCCCACAGGTAGGTTTCATATTACTCTCCATTCTTATCTGCATGCTTAAAATATTTTACAATAAAAATATAAATTTTAAAACACATACTATAAGATGATCAAATTTTGGGAGACGTGTATTTACGTGCATGTGTCTGTATACATGGTTCTGGGCAAATTGCTTAAGGTTTCCTCATTTGCAAAATGAGGATAAAAGCAGCTACCCCACAGAATGTCATGAAGATGCACCAAATAATCCATGGGCAAAACTTAGCATTCCCCTACACACTGTAAACACTGAACACATGTTAGCTATTACTAATGGTCAGGAAAAAATATACACAATCTGGAAAGCACCAATGGTTAAATCTCGGGTGTTTGTTACTGCTGTTCTTCTTCTCCATGTTCTTTTTCTACATAAAAAGAATCTTTTTTAATTTTAAATGCTACTGAGAACGGGAAATAATTTATCTAGTCATTAACAAATACTTCTCACTGAGGTGTCCCTCGAAGCCAGGTACTATGCTAGGTGCTGGGAGTACAAAGATAGACACAATAATCTCTGCTCTTGAGGAGCTCTCAAGGAAGTGTAGTAGGAATAAAAATTCATAATTACACACATATATAGTAGTGTGAGGAGGTCTTGTGGACCAGCCAGCCCCGAACAACACAAGAATCTTTGGAAATAAGGTTTCATTCTGAGATGAGGAGGAGGAAGCCAGAAGCATATGCTGATATTCAGGACTACCTAAGTGTATAATAGTCCTTGCATGGCCAAGAGCTAAACCATATTCAGCAAAAAAAGGCACAGAGTCTCCCAGTATAATCCTTTAATCTGGCACTACTCAAAGCATGGTCCATGGCCCAAACTGTTACTGTTTAGCAACCAGAAAAGTACAGAAGTTTCTAAGCATTTAGAAACTTTTGTACCTATTTGGCATTGCCACAACAGCTAACTAAGTGATCAGTGGAGAAGTAGAGAACAAAGGTAAGGCTTTGTAACAGATTGAAAATAAGAAAATAAAACAAAAACAGAAAAGAGAGAAGAAAAAAAAAAGGACTGGTTCTTCACAGACAGTGTAAGAAGTATTGTTTTCAAACTCCTTGAGTAAGGATCCTTGGCTAGTGCCAAAAATGAGTTTGGAATGAAATGGAATGGCAGCGGCTGGTTTATAACTTAGCAGAGAAGCTCCAAATTCCAACGTCTCTTAAAGCTCTCCACAAACAAAACATCCAAGAGCTCTTCCTCGACTGTCATCCTTGAGAGTGTCTCAAGGAGCACCTGGGGCAAAGGGCCTCTGGATGTCCATAACCGGGTGTGGGGGTAGGGGAGATGGCAAAGCCGAAAGATCTAGAAAACACCCCTCCTCGATTAATTCTACTTTGAGGCAGGAAACAGGCCAGCCAATGACTGCGGGAGAAAAAGGCTGGTGTGAAATGGCAGTGCTGAGGTAAGTCGGCAGTCCAAACACAACGGCCTCCCTTATGTAAGAAACCACAGCAGCGTGCAGCCTGCCAGAGTCAAATAATGTGCCTCTGTGTGCGAGGGACTGAGGGGGCTGCAGAGCCCAGGACGCACTTGGAGTTTATCTAAGCCATGTACACACGGTCTGTTAATGAGCATTTGGTTCCCAAAGTGGGCTCGGGGCTGATAAAAAACAGATGCGGGGCCAGCTGATCAAAGTGGCCTTGCTCCCCACTGCCCACTGCCTGGACCACTACCTCACCATGTCTCCTGAGCCCTCCTGGCACCCCCTTCTTTAACGCACATTTGCAACCTGAAAATGCCACACCCTTCCACTTGGCTTCTTTCAGGCTAATTGAATTTAAAAGTACAGGAAGCCGGAGGGTTTGGAGACAGGGAGAGAGAAAGGGGCTGAGGGCTGCTCTGTTTGTGGACTCACGCAGCCCAGCCTTCCGTAACTTCGGTCCCTAAAACATACAGACTTGTGTAAATTGTTTAACACCAGAGTTGCAAATGCTGCAGAGTTCAGAAAGGCAATGCAGCCACCAGGAAGATAGGCCCTCGGGATTCCCAAGTCAACCTTGGTCAATCGTTCAGTAGAGGAGACTGAAGGGGTTGAGAAGGTAAAGTTGGGAAGAGATAGTTGGCTGGATGCCTCGATAAAACAATGTCGTGTGGCTGAGAAATGCCTCAGCCAAGAGGAGACATGGTCCATGGGATCTCCCAGTGCACAAGGACTGCTCATGAACAGGGAAGAGCGTCCCCCACCCTGTGAGAGTAGCGTATTTGAACCCAAAGCCAGTCAACCCAGTGGATGACAGCCTTCTGCTCTTGCCTCTGGGAAAAAAATGCAATATTCCTGTCACAGTTGCTGTATGAGGTATCGAAGAAGCGGAACACATTCATCCAGGTGGAGAAAGAAAAAAAAAAAAAAGACGGCATTTAAATTTACTCATTACAAATGTCTGGGGGTGCCTACTTTGTGTCAGGCTCCCTGTCACCCTGACGTTTACAGCCCGGCGGAGCAGAGAGATGCGAAACAAGCAAGTAGACATGTGAGAAGAGTTACAGTAGACAGAGCAGTGTGACCTTGTCTACCAGGGGTCAAGGAAAGATTCCCAGAGGAAGTACTGATTGATTAATGGAAAAAATGGGGAGGAAAGTTTCAGAAAGAGTGACTTGCATGGTGGAGGGTCCTAAGTTCAGAGAAAGGGTGGTACATCGTCAAACTAACCTAAGCCATTAAAGCTAGAGCTTAGAGAGCAAAGCAGAATCTTCCATGGGAGGCTTGAGGGGTAGGTGGGGTCATATCACATGGGGCTTTTTAGACCTTATTAAGGATTTGAGAATTTATCCCTAAAGACAATGGGCAGCCATGGCAGCATTCTAAGTGTGACATGTCATGCTCAGAGTTGTATTTAAAAAGATGAAAACTGGTCTCCTGACTCGTAAAGCCAAGGTACCGGGAATAAAGGAATAACCCATCTTGATCAGATCTCCCGAACTTGTAAAGAAGCTGGTATGGTGATGGCAGGTCTTTTGAGTTGCAAAGGTCACTGCGAGAAGCATGTCTTCTCTGACCTGCCACCACAGAGCAGCAAACTGAAAGCATGCCATCCTCATGCCAGGCACTCAGCAGTTTTGGTGGCAATCTCCAATCTCCAGGCCCTGAACCAGCCTGCGAAGCACTAAGCTCCCGCTGTCTTAGGGATGGGCACCTTAAGTTGGAAAACGGGGTCTCAACACCATTCTACATGTTAAGAGTGGGCAGTGGCCTCCCCAGGCCCACACACAGATCTCATCACATTCTAAATGCTCTAGGGAAAAGATCTTGTGCAAACTCTACCTCGGCAAAGTGTTTCAGCCTCTGGCAAGGATGGGGGTGGGGAATCAGCTTCCCTGGGCTGCTCCATCTGCCAAACTTAGAATAAAGAGTGTTTTCAGGGCCTGGAGTTTTCCAGCTGCCTGGAAACAGGAAGAGCCCAATCCCAGAGAACAGTAACCCTCACACACACCCTACATAAAGACATGCTGAGCCATTAGCCCTAATTGCCTGTGACTGACATAGGAGAGAAGCTGGCCTTCCAGGCATTTGCTCAGCGGAAAGAAAACAAACAGCTCACAGGGGACACAGGCAGCCATTTTCTCTCCTTTCTGCCAAAATGATTTTGCTCTGTTCCCCCCAGATTACAGCATATAGATTTGGAAGTATAAACCAAACAAAGGTCTTTCTAGCATCCTTCACCACATACAAAAGAGAACATAAACCTGTAGGGAAGAGCTGGACACAAGCAACTGGTTATTAATCTTTTCGCAAAATCAAGAACTTCACAAAAACTTTTCAGAGCCACCTCTCAATACCCGATCTCTCCAGGTTTGAGGTATTAGGAAGTACTTGCAATACTTTTCATTTATTCATCATACTTGATTAAGATATATGTTAGGTAGTGGGCCAAATGCTAAGGATGTGATATATATGTGGTAAAAATCATATTTGCCTTCAGATTTATAATTTTTGTTTTTAACAAGTGGGTTTTCTAAAGAGGCTTAAGAAGACATAGCATATTATCATCAAGCAAGAGACCGTGCATCCTTTCCTTTTCCTTTATGAATTACAAGGGCCCAGAGGACACACCCACATGCCACCACCACCACCATCAGCCAGACCAGTGACTGTGGTGATACAGTTTCCTTGGTACCAAACCGATAACCAGGATGGATTTCAGGACCACAATGACTGGTAGTTGCTGAGACAAGACTTCATTTCCCAGTTCAGAACCATTCCCTTCCTTTACGGTTCCTTCACAGTCGATTCAAAAATATCACTCACCAGGTGGAACACCCACCATGTTCCACCCTTCACTTCCTTGAGAGACATGCGTGATTATTAACTCCCCCTTACAGAGATGGTGAACCATCTGAGCAAAGTCACATAGGATCCAGTGGGGATCTGAAGCCAGATCTGTTTGTTTCCAGGGTCCATACTCTTATTAATCTCTATTCACTATATAGCCAAACCTGAACTGTCCTTTGGCTTAATGGGGCCATCTTCTTATCATCCAAGGTCTTCACCATCAGATTTAACTCTGAACTAAAGGATGACTAGTAGTCCATGTTAACAACAGCCCCAGTATTGTGGGAGGGACATACAGTAATATTGAGAGCCTAATGTCCTCCACAGATCGTTAAGATAAAATTCAGGAGAGAAAAGCAGTTTTCTGAGCAGGATCTCAATGAACACCCTCCAAAGACGAAGGAAGGCAAAATGAGCTGCTTGTTCCATAAAAGTCACACTCTTCTAGTCAAGCTGTTCATTTCAAGTCATGGTATAAGGTAGCATTGATTCTGCCCCAGATGATTTAGAGTCTTTTAAAGATTTCTGTAGAACAAGCAGTTCTTCCACACCTCCCTCGCTCCTATGCATGGCAGCCTCCCCAGAGACTACAAGCCACAAGGTAATAAATAACCATTTTGTTTCTGTCCTGGTGAAGGAGCCTGAGATTTGAGAGGGGGGAGCGCTGCTGTGGGCCAGAAGGCTACTCACCCGGCAGGCAGAGCATCGAGGGCCTGGGCAGCCGCCGGGAGCTGCTGGGTGCCTGAAGTGCTGGGCTCCTCTCCTTCTGCCGGTGTGGCCGGAGCGGGGAGAGACACTGCAGTGGGATTTGAGGTCACACTCGACACCGCAGCAGGCGACGATGTCACCCCAACAACAGAGGGCTCTTCAGGATCAGTGGCTGCGGTGGGCTCGTCATTCACTGAAAACAGAGAAATCGTATTTGAAAGATCCACTCAGACTCGTATTCACATTCACTAGATTTTTCCCTTAAAGTGGTAACACAGTACCTACAATGTTACCCTGCATGTATCTGGTGACAGCAAAAAGTTTTACAAAATGTTAACTTTGGAAATGACAGCAAGTCAGTAATGGCCTGCCCCTGGTCTCCTCCCACCTCCTGCCCAACAACTGGGAGATGGATCTGAAGTATATTAAATATTACCCCTTTTGTATACTTTTATTACATTTTTCTAAAGTATTCTGATTACATGTATTACAATAAAAGAAGAGCAGGAAGGAGGGTAACGGGGAGCTGTGTTAGTGCGAAAGGAAGCAAGGCCAAGGCCACATCTACAGGGTCCATACTTTTCTTTAAACTTGCCATATGTCTGCTGAGCAGAAATGGCAGCTTCCTATACTCTAAGAAGCAAAAAACTTCCAACAATGTGCCTGTTCTTTTAAAGACTCATCCTCAAAGCATGGAACAAAGATTGATACTATAGATGAAAAAGATGGGCGCCAAAGATGAGGGACTTGTCTTCCAGATAACAATGGACAAAGAGAAATAAGTCTGTTCCAAGTCTCCTTATTTCTCCATTTCTTTATTATTTTGATGATCACTCATGTTCACAAGGACCCCAAGACAATGCAATATCCTCTCCCTCAAAAAGGGATCAAACAAGGTTTTCGAAGAATTCTTTGAAAATGGATAAGCCATATGCAGAGAATTTTCTACATACGTGATTGCATATGTGCACATTTATACTAGAATTCTGTAGGAAAACCCCTTAGATGTGAGTTAGCCTCCTCTTCCTAATTCAGAAATTCTTTTTGCGGTTTCAAATGTAACAAATGTACTATCCAGATTCTTCTTAAATGCTTCTGACAAGGAACTTGCTACCATTCCATCGTTGAGCAGATGTCCTGCCAGCAAGTTTTTTCTTATGTGAAGCAGAAATTTCGCTAGCTGGTCCAATCCCCAACCCCCCCGCAATACACAGTAAGTACCTGGCCACCCTGTTTCTCATTCACCTTCTCTTTTCTGGTAAGAAGGCGGGCTCTTTCTTAAATGTTTCTAGGCCCTTCCCTTCTTGTCACCTGGCTGCTCGCTTCTAAGTATCTTCTACTGCCTCTCCTCAATTAGGACAGCAGGAACTGAACATAATAAATCAGACACCACCAGACCAGCAGAGTCAGATTTCCAGTATAAGTGGTATGAGTTAAGATGTACAGAACACCACTGTGTGCCAGGCAAAGTGCAAAGCAATTTGGATTGTCTCATGTAAGCCTCACACACAACCCCACACATTAGGTGCAACGAATATCCCATTTTACATAAGTTGTGGAAACTGAGGCTCAAAGAGGTCAAATAACCTGCTGAGGTTGAGGGGCTCCTAATTCTCACCCCTACTGCCTGCCTCCAGAGCCTGAACTCCTCACTAACTGTGCTCTCCTTCTCCCTCCCTGCACATCCTTTAAAGCAACCCAAGATGGTAACAACTGAAGCAATGACAGGATCCTACCAGCTCACCCGAGACTGGGGGCCAGCTGAAACCAAAAGTTCTTTACATGATGGGATGCCACCTGCTCTTCAGAAATGGAAAAGAGCCTAGGTACAACCTGTGATCCACTCATTTGCTTTCTCCCCAGCGTATGAAACACTGTCTGGCACATCAACTAAATTAGTTGTTTAATAAGTGACTCCATCTTATGCAACTGGTGTTTCCCCCACACATATGCAAGACTTCATACTTCTCTTCCTATTCTAGCTCAGCCAAGTTGGTAAAACACAACAGATGGCAACTCTCTTTATGCAAAATTATACATTTTACCAATACAAAAAACCATCATGACATTTTTGAGAACTATGTAAGTTCACCCTAAAAGTTATAAGAAAAATTAGGGGCGCCTGGATGGCTCAAGAGGTTAAGCCTCCGACTCTTTTTTTTTTTTTTTAAGATTTTATTTATTTGCGACAGAGACAATGAGAGACAGAGAGCATGAGAGGGAGGAGGGTCAGAGGGAGAAGCAGACTCCCTGCTGAGCAGGGAGCCCAATGTGGGACTCGATCCCGGGACTCCAGGATCATGACCTGAGCCGAAGGCAGTTGCTTAACCAACTGAGCCACCCAGGCGCCCAAGCCTCCGACTCTTGATTTCAGCTCAGGTCATGATCTCTGGGTGGTGGGACTGAGCCCTGTATCGGGCTCTATGTTAAGCACAGAGTCTGCTTGTCCTTCTCCCTCCCTCTCTCCCCTCTCCCTGCGCACACTTGCTCTCACTTCCTCTCTCTCTCCTTAAAAATAAATAAAATGTTTAGAAAAAACTGTAAGAAAAACTAAATACAGAAGAATAGCCATGAAAATTCTAAAGAAGAGTGTTGTGTGTATGTGTGTGGGGGGGTAGTTCTCTAAAGTATTAACACATTATAAAGCTACAACAATTAAAATAATGTGGTACTAACACACGAATAAGCAGATGTCGATGAAATAAACAGCAAGTTCAGAAACAGAATTAAATACACATAGGAATTCAGTATATGACAAAGGTGGCATTTTAAATGACTGCAGCAAAGAGATCATTCAGTAGACAGCACTGTGACAACTAGGTACACCGGGAAAAAGATGAGTTATATCGCTACCTTATCCAGGACATGAAAATAAATTCCAGATGAATCAGAAATTTTGACATGAGAAATGAAACTAAAAAGGAACTAAAGAAAATAGAGGAGAACATTTTTATCTCAAAGTGGAAAAGACTTTTTGAAGTATCACACAAAATCTAGACGACATAAAAGATGGATGAATTCAACTGCATTAAAGATTTTGGGTTTTTTTTTTAATTTAAATGGCAAAAAAAAATCAAAATCAAAGAAAAACAACAAACTGGGAAAAATTATTGCCAACTCATATTACAGACTAATGGCTAATTTCTTTGATATGAAAAGAATCTCTACAAATCAGTAAGAAAAAGACCAAAAGTATGCACCGGCACTTCAGAGTAAAGGAAATACAAATTACCCCTAAACGTATTAAAAGATGCTCAATCTCAATTATGAGACAAGAAATGCAATTTAAGGGGCACCTAGGTGGCTTAGTCAGTTAAGCGTCTCCCTTTGGCTTAGGTCATGATCTCGGGGTCCTGGGATCGAGTCCCACATTGGGCTCCCTGCTCAGTGGGGAGCCTGCTTCTCCCTCTCCCTCTGCCCCCTCCCTGCTTGTGAGCTCTGTCAAATAAATAAATAAAATCTTTAAAAAAAAAAAAAAGAAATGCAATTTAAGACTAGGATGAAGTACCATTTTTTAACCTATCAGATTGGTAAGAATAAAAATATTTAGGGGTACCTGGGTGGCTCAGTCAGTAAAGCAACCGACTCTTGATTTCAGCTTGGGTCATGATCTCAGGGTTGTGAGATCGAGCACCACATCAGGCTCCGCCTGGGCAAGGAGCCTGCTTAATATTCTCTCTCTCCCTCTCCCACTGCCCCACCCCCCCTTAAAAAAATTAATCTGGTAAATAATAAAAAAAAATAATACTAGTAAAAGTATAAGAAAAACTGGCATTTTCACATATTGCTGGCAGGAGTAGAAATTATTAGAACCTCTATGGAGAACAGCTGGCAATATCGAAAAGTTAAATGCAATAAGAGGGGGTGCCTGGGTGGCTCAGTTGCTTAAGCGTCTGCCTTTGCCTCGGGTCATGATCCCAGGGTCCTGAGATCGAGTCCGATTTGAGGTTTCTCCTTCTCCCGCTCCCCCTGCTTGTGTGCTCTCTCTGTCAAATAAATGAATAAAATCTTTTTTTAAAAAAAAAGATCTTAAGGGGCGCCTGGGTAGCTCAGTCGTTAAGTGTCTGCCTTCGGCTCAGGTCATGATCCCGGGGTCCTGGCATCGAGCCCCGCATCGGGCTCCCTGCTCGGTGGGAAGCCTGCTTCTCCCTCTCCCACTCCCCCTGCTTGGGTTCCCTCTCTCACTGTGTCTCTCTCTGTCAAATAAATACATAAAAATAAAAAATAAATATTTAAAATAAATAAAAATTAAAAAATAAAAAATAAAATCTTAAAAAAATATTTATAAAATAAGGTCTCTGCCCTATAATCTGTTTTAAAAAAAGCTAACGACACTGTCAGCTAAGTACCAACACAGCATATGTCACAGGGGCTCTGTGGTTGAGTGGTTAAGACCACAGGTGTTGTAGGATCCACAGAGAGGATCAGTCTGGCTTAAGTAGGAGAGAGGGCCTCCAGGGAGTGCGGCTCAAGTGAGCAAAGAGGTGTAGGCAAGAACACAGGAGACAGAGGTGGAAGTAGTGAAAAACAAAGGAAACACATTTGCCCTTGTTTCAAGGAGGGTGCAGTCCTTGCAGGGAGCAAAGTTGTACACATCAAACAATTAGGATTAACAGAGAACACTGGCTATACGTACTGGATAGAGCTACAATGTAAACTACAGCAATTCTCCGAGGCATGACTCAACTGTCACTCCTTGTCTTTGTCCATCCAGTTTGTTTCTCTATTTGAAGTCACATCGATGGCTTGAGTATGGTGCTCTGTCACTGGCTTACTGGTGTGACCAAAAGCCAGTAACTTAATTGTCTGAACTTCAGTTTCTTCTGACTGTAAGCTGTGATGGAGTGGATTTATCACTGAGGTTCTTTCAAGCTCTCACGTTCTAAGAATGTGTATATATTTACAACACATACACTTTCTGAGAGTAGGAAATACAAGCACGGACACAGAAAGTTTGTCAGCGCAAGGATATCTGGCTCTCATACTCTGTCTCCAAATCAAAGTGTAGCACAAAGCTCTCAAACAGATGAGCTCCTGTGGTGAATCAAGGGCTTCTTGGATAGGTCTGTGGGCAGATGCAGTCTTGGTGGGAACCCTTCGAACTAGATTTGCATCTGCATGCATAGTCAGATCCAAATGGCACCGATTGGAGGGTCTTTTCCATTGGCATGCCATGGAAAATGGGGCTCTGCT